AGGCGTTCCGAGTCTGCCAACTGTGGGACATCTGTATAAAGGCAACCGTTGCACTGAGCGGGAGATGAACAAGATGACCTTCAAGACTCCTTCCAAGAATCTCTGACTCTTCAGGAAATCAAAAGAGATGGGTATGCGGGGCACTGCTGTGGAGGACAGCCAAGCAGTGGAGGAACCCTAGGGCACTTGTTGAGGGCAGGCAGCGGTGCACTGCCCCTCCCCTGAAGCTTGGATACCTCCTTGCCCACTCCAGGTAGCCTCTTCCCTCCCTCAGGGATAAAATAGGTGCCCATTTCCTTAGACAGCATTTTTTCCCACCTGTCAGGGTCCTTGGGACTAAGAAGGACCACATCACTTTCACTTTCTTCCTTCTTCTCCCGAGATGGTGAAGGTGAAGCTCTTCTGACTACAGGAATCCTGGCCATACCCTCTCACCAGCCGCAAGCTTCTCTTATTCTCTAGGGCTCTGACCTGGACTCCAAGATAAATATTTAGTGTAGGTGCAGCTGAGCTGACAAAGGTCCCCACTTCCTGTTTCTCACAAAGGGAGGTGGCAGCCATGGGCAAGGAGCTGGGGACTGGCTACCAGTTTCATCCCTATGGGAATCGGGGAGTTCAGTAAACAGCTTTGTAGAAGGAGGCGGGGCAGGTCCCACGGGAGACCTGAGCTTTCTTCCTGAGCTGCTTTGACTTCTGCCTGTCTACTTAGGCCTGGACTCTGCTGGGCTTATCATCTCTCTCAGGTCAGAATCCACCATGTTCTGTGGTGCCCATCTGGCCTCACAACTGAGAGGATGGGAGACAGACAGTGGGACCACAGGGCAGGGAAAACATAAGGAAATTTGACTGACTCCTTCCTTTCTGCCCTTACTTAAAGAGAATTCCTTCTTTGAAAAGCAGAGTAAGAGGGGGAAAGCAGCAAGGTTTAGAGATTCAGCCAGGAACCAGGTGTCTGATTTCCCGACGCCTCCCTCTAGCGTGAGCTCCCCTTGCTGCCTCCACAGCTGGCACAGTTAGGGAAAGGCTGAGGCTGGGAAGGTTGTCCTAGATCAGCTGGCCAGCTGGCTGTCAATAACAGATTCTTTTCCTTTCCTCATCCCTGTGCACTCTCCCCTTTGCACGCATGACAACCCTAAGAGGGATTTCCCTCCCTGTGAGTCACCGCTTCCCCACCTCTGGCACTGCCCTTTGTCAGGGGCTGCCTCTGCCTTCTCAGAGCCACCTGAGCCACAGTAAACAGTTACGTAACTGCCCTGTTTTCCCAGCTACCTGATCCCAGGCACCAGTATCCCCCGCTCAAGCCCTTGAAGCTGCACCTTTTGTTCTGTGGGTAGCCCCCAACATCACCATCAACAGGGGTCTGTCCACACCCCTCACAGGGGAGGATTAGCCATGGGTCTACCAGTAAATGTGACTCTTCACAGGAGGGGAAGAAGGCAGTGAAATGCGGGTCGCTCTGAAAAGCAACCTGTATCACCAAGAGGAAGGATGAGGGGAAAGAGCACTGAAAAGAAGGTGGGGCAAGCGGGGTGGGCAGAGCACCCAGTTTTAGTTCTGAAGTGGGGAAAAGGGAAGCCAGGGGTCCCAGAAGACATGCACCCTGACTCAGGTCTTGAGGAGTGCCTTGCTCTGGTACTGGGAGTCAGCCACTGGGGTGAGCCATCCTCTGAGATGTATCCTGGGCAGTTAGGTGGCCCTCGCTCTGTGTCTCAGTACCCCATGGAGATACAGGGCATCTGTTCTTCCTTTCTTTTCCACCCCAGGATGAACTTCAGGTGCTTTGAGTAGATTTTTTTTGGGGTGGGGGGTTTGCTCTCAGAAGAGTGTTTTCTTCTTTCCTTTGAGCTGAGCAGGCAGAACAGAAGGGGTTAGCACAGAAAGCACTGCTGTTTCCAGCAGTCTGGACTTCTCTAGAAGGCCACAGTGACACAATGGTGAGGAATTGAAACCAAGTCACATGAACACACCAGCAACAATCTGGACTATGTTTCATCCCCTGGGCTCCATCCCTTTCTCCTGGATCCTCTCTTGATTTTCGCGCCTGCAAATGTTGCCAGCCAAGTTCTACTGATGGCCCTTTCTGTGCCAACCACTTGTGGGAACGGGTAGGCAGAAGAGTAGAGTGCAAATGACCCATTTTGGGATTTCAAAGGCCCTCCTATGTTGACAAGGGCATGACCTGGCTCATCTGGAATTCAAGATTTCTGGTAGAGTCACTGTAGAGTGAGGGATCTGAGTGAAAAAACTCCTGGTACAGGTCAAGTATGGTTGGTGTTGGGGCCTGGCAGCCAGGATGGGTGCATGGAACCCCGTGGGAATAAAGAATGAGACTCTCAGGCCTCCCTGGCACAGACCTTTCCATAGCACATGCATGATGTAATGGGCACATCTATTCTGGGTTCTCAGGGCCAGTCTTCCAAAGGCTGCAGGAGAACTCAGCCATTTGCCCAATTTATCCCGCCTGTCCTCAAGGAAGTTTTGACACTGACATCACATCCACGGCTGTCCTCTCTGCCTCTTTTCATGGATGAGCAAACAAGCACAGTGCACAGACAGGGTGTCTTTGAGAAGAACTGAGCTGGGCAAACCTCTCTTAGTTCTCGGGAAAGATGAAACAAGCAGTGGCTGTCAGCTCTAGAAAGCAGATTTTATAAAGGAAGGATAAATAAGTGATGACCTCAGAGGGAAAACCAAGCCAAGTCAACTCAGTCACAAAGGAGGGCACAGACCCAGGAGCTGGAAAATTAGGTCTGCATCAGCCTTCTTTCCCAGCTCAGGTAGACTGCGATGGGGAGGATAAGAGGGCTGATCTGTTGGCCCAGTGGATACCATGAGGTAGGGCTCTGGCTTCCAAACAAAGAATAACTTTGTCTTCCCACCTCCTTGAATTCTATGACGAACCTTCTCCTTAAAAGCATCAGCATTAAAAAGACTGTTTCATTTACCATTATTCATCCACTGCATCAAAATTAGATTTTCTTCTAAAGCCTGAAAGTTGTGATTTAAAAAAAAAAAAGCAAGACCTTGCAATTACATGCAGCAGGCAACAAACGGGACCAGATCTAGATGGAGTGACAGGTTAATATGAGTTTGCATTCAAGTCCTTCATTTCCAGGCTATTAAAAAGCTTTCCACAACTCCAGAAATAAGAGGAAATATTACCTGATTTTACCGAAGGTTTAGCTAAGGTGTAGGGACATTGCTACATCAAGATGCCATTGGGATAACAAAGAACCCAATGCATCCTCAGCTTACTGGAAATTAGAAACCTGGGCCCGTTTTCTGGCCTGTAAACTGCATGGTGGCCCTTAGTGTGGCTGTATTTAGTGTAAAAGTAACCTCACTTGGGCCTGGCAGTGCTGGATTTAGCCTTTCTACCTCTACTGCCATAACTGGCAGAGTCCCCTCACTGAGTTTCCTCTACAGGCCCCGGCTCTTTTCCTATCCTCTATCCCCCAATTGCCCAGGGGAGCTTATTTTTCCCTGTGAACCCATAGCACCTCATGATATTTCTACGTTTTTTTTCTTTTTGTTTCTTTTTTTTGAGACGGAGTCTCACTCTTGTTGCCCAGGCTGTAATCCAGTGGTGTGATCTTGGCTCACGGCAACTCCGCCTCCTGGGTTCAAGCGATCCTCCTGCCTCAGCCTCCAGAGTAGCTGGGATTACAGGCATGTGCCACCACACCTGGCTAATCTTGTATTTTTAGTACAGACAGGGTTTCTCCAAGTTGGCCAGGCTGGTCTCAAACTCCCAACCTCAGGTGATCTCCCTGCCTGGCCTCCCAAAGTGCTGGGATTACAGGTGTGAGCCACCATACGTAGCCGATATTTCTACTTTTCAGAGGAATGAAAAGGCTAGTCTGACACTTCCGTTCTTGGCAGCCCAGCTCCACATTCTAATCCTCTTTGGCTGCCTTGACTTCTCTGAGATGGAATTCACCATGTCTATTATTAGGATCACATGCACAGTCATTAAATTACAAGAATACACAACTATTTTTATCCTTGGCAAAGAATATATGCTTTCTGGGATGTCTTTCTCTTCCTTTTCTTCAAGCAGTGGCCTCTTTGAAGAAGCCCAGAGGGGACTTGGACTTGAGCAAGAAGGAGGCCGGGGCAAGGGAGTGAATTCTGAGCTGGGAGACACAGAAATACGTTGTGGCCAGCATAGCTGCCTTAAAACAAAAGGGCTGGAGAGATGAAAGAAAGAGGTCCCTTTTATTGTGATGGGAATCCTTCCCTTGTGAGGGGAATTTCTTGGCATCATCAGAGACCAGACCAGACATCAAAAGCCAGGCTTTCCCCTGGCCTCTGGAATTGTTAAATGAGTAAAAGCCAAATGTAAGTGTTTCCACCAAGAAATACAGGAAATAAAGACACAGGGAGCCAATAAAGTTATCATTTAAAGGTGTCTTCTTCTTTTTTTAATCTTAAGAAGACTTCTAATTTACAGAACGAAAGTTCTAACAAGTTAATTTCTTGTTCACAAAAAAAAACATTAGATGATTTCGGCCAGTCAGTAACATTTCCACTACTTTCTTTAATGTAACTGAAAGCAAGAAACAGTAGGCAATCTCTAAGCACAAGCAAATAACCCATCATTCAGAAGAACCTTGAAAAAACATCACACCACCAGCCTAGTCTCACATCTGACCACCATGCCATTTAGAAAGGAATATTGGAACCCCTTCTTGGAAAATGTTTGCTGACAGATCTTTTGGGAAAAACAGCTATTGGGGTCGCAATGCATTGAGAAAGGAAAAGTGGGGGTTTATAATGTCTCCTTCAGAAAGGTTCTGTGACAAAAACACATCTTTATTGCCCCAAATCAAGATCTATGGTAGGCCTACTCCTCATTACATGCATTTCACATTAACATGCAGAAAAAAAAGCATTTGGAGACATCTATGTCAAGGGACTGATGGAATGTGGGCAAGAACTTACTGGAAGGCAGTGTGCTTGGCCCTACTTTAGAGCTACTCAGAGGGACAGTCGGCATCCATGTCCTCACTTCTTGATCTTAAGCCACCTAGACTTGTCATGAGGCCGTAGAAGAGGAGATGGTGCATACCCTGTCTTAGACAAAGGGGTTATTTAGCAGGTCTTGTCAAGGTGGCAGGGGTGTGAGGCCAAGGCCTCCTGGGAGGGAATATACTCTCCAGTATCATCTTTACCTTTGTGACTGCATAGATGAAGGCAGCTAACACTGACCCCATTCACTCTGGCTGGCTAGATATAGGCAGGTCAGGTCCCAAGTTCCAACGTAACATAGGCTCCCTCTTTCACACTCTGTCAATGGCACAAAGCCCTATTGTTAATACAGTTCCCTACTCATACTCAAGAGTAAACAACACTGTCCTTCGACTACACAACTTTCTTCCTCTACACACATCTGCTCTGACAGCTTTCCTCTGGGTGTATCATCACAGCAACACTGAAAGGGACTATGGCAAGGCAGTGCTTGGGACCCAGCCTCCAGGTAACCTGACCCTCCTCAATCCACTGCTGGGCCTTCTAGGCTGTCCTTGACTCACCTTCTAGCAGATCTCGGAAAAGATGTGTTTCATGTACCAGACAAGGTGGAAGCCACGGTTATAACCACAAACAATTTAGGCAATTGGAGCTCATACCCACAGATGGGCCCTGGGTTCACCCTCCCTCTGACATCTTCTCTGCCTGGGCAAGGAAAGCTGTGTAATGCTTTAGGAGAAACTTGGGTTCCACTGTTACTATAACAACTAGAACACACACTGGGGATTCTAGAATGGTACTGCAACAAGTTTTTATAGCTTAGGAAATAATTTTCAATGCAGAGATTAGAGAGGAAAACCGAAAATTAGTACAAAGCAAAACTATGAATCAACCAGTCTAGGGCAAGCTCTTCCTAAATCAATGTAACTGATTGGTCACCCAGACTGGTCAAGATGAAAATTCTTAAGAGCTTATACGTTATAGATATAGTACAGTCGAAAATTTGGGGAATCAGCTACCTTATTTACATAAAGTTGGGCAAGGCAGAGGGAACAGATGTTAGCCTCACTCCTTCTGAGGCTGAGAGACTCCTGAGTAATGACCATGAACAGCAAGGCCAGCTGTCTCATGCAGACATGGCTTATATTTTTCCTACAGAGATTAGCTGCCTCAAACTGTGTTACTCAGAGAGAAGAGCCAAAAGGCTAAAAAGGCCCTGAAGTTATCCAATTTTTAAAAATCTTATCCTTGCTCCTGAATGACATTTAATAATAGTCTACTGCAAAACAGTGACGGTTTTTCTCTTCCTATTTTGAAAAATGTCAGTCAGGAAATCATCCCTAAGTTATCAGGATGGCAAAGAAAGCTAAATAAGGCAAATCTTTGCTTACTGAAACTTGCTTCATTGAATTGTTCATGGAAGACCCAAAAAAGGCAATTAAAGATATGAAAAATAGTGATGTTCCTGGAGTGGCTGAGTCTTTTACTCCTAGGCAAGGAGCAGTATCAAGCTCATCAGAGTGGGATAAGCAATTTTTACCTTGTCAATCAATATCTAGTCCCAAAAAGACAGCAAATCAGCAATGTCTGTACTTGTAACCAAAGTGTCACCTTGAGAGTTTAAGGAAAACAGGCTATTTTTGTTTTAGCATTCTATTAAAGAGACGCGCACACACACATGCAGACGCACACACACGCATGCACAGGCAGTCTCACACACACGCACGCACAGGCAGGCTCACACACGCGCGCACACACACACACACACACACACACACACTTGGTTTATGTTTTGCTCTTGCTCCAAACATTCAGAACATGGAGATCAAAAAGGGGTACATATTTTGAACTTACATTAGATGAGTTTTCAAATTTTTAAAAGAAATCATCATCTGATCGATTTAAATGTCCTGTGATATGTATGTCACCAAAAGTGAGAAACCTAGTCCATGTGAAGCATCATCTTCAAAATGGTATTTCAGAAATGTTTACAAAGAAGTCCTAACATGCCTGGGGACTTTTCCTAAATGGGAGAAGTTACAGAAAAAGAAGGTCCCTGTGGGCCTTCCACAGGGAAGGTCCTATGAAGGAGAACACAAACTATTTCCAATATCTTTAGAACATATGGGAGCAAGATTTAATAAAACAGAAGGGGCTTTGAAAACACCAAGACTGCAGAGCTTTGACAGCAATTAAAATGTCCGTTCAATGATGGCCCTAGGCATGAAAAGTAGTCTTAGAGCAAACAGGGCAGGCATCCAGCCACCTTGGAAGCTGTTGTTTATATTAAAACATTAAAAAATGTGTGAAAACCCTCCAATGAAGTCTCAAGGGAAGAAAAAGTAGTTATTACAACATTACTCCTAAGGTGCATGCCTTCTAAATGGTTTTGAGTCATAGGTGCACAGGTGTGTATAGGTACACGGATCAAGAGCCTCACTTCAAGAAGCTGCCTGTATCAGAGACACACCTAGTATACAACTTTCTAAAGTGCTGAAATACATACCCCAGCCTTCTACAGAACAGAAGGGATACCTTTACCTTTAGAATTCAACAGAATGTTCAAACCTAGCCTCCTCTAAGAGCTGGTACTGTTCTAAAACTCACTCAGGTTTTCTTGAACCAGGACCCCTTACCTCTCTACTCGGGCTGATTCATCGACAGCTCAGAGGGAACCAGTGAAATACTGTATATGATTCTGTGATGCTTCTGTTAAGGAAACTTGCTTTATTGTTCTGCTTTTTGAGACAACAGTGAAGCCATTACTAAATAATCATCCTTTTAAGTTAACAAAATATTACTTTTTGCATATAAAGATTTACAGTAACTATTTCTACTACTGCCTGCGGATGGAGGCCCATAAGAGTGGGTTGTATATATGTAAAAACAACCTTAATGAAAAGGAGAAAGGGATACAGGACTACCAACTCTGCAGTCTGTCATGTGGAATGACTTTCATCAGTGAAATTTCCAAAGACAGGATCTTTTCTAATCCTAGGATTGGGAGAGAGGAGCATGAGGATATCTAGGTGGTTCATACCTGATTTGAGTTGAATGACAATCAGGAAAGAAATTACCTGAGACCTTTCTCCCTTCTTTGACACGTTTTACTCACAACCCATTCAGAGATCTTTTATCTCCTTCCTATCTTTTTATTAATGGAGCAATTTATGCAGGCAGATTCCAGTCCCCAAAAGTGCCTTGATTTCTGCCATAAACAAATCAGGAACTGTTAGGAAAAAAAAAAAAGGTATAGGGTGGCCGGGCGCATGTGGCTCACGCCTGTAATCCCAGAAATTTGGGAGGCTGAGGTGGGCAGATCACTAGGTCAGGAGTTCGAGACCAACCTGGCCAGCATGGTGAAACCCCATCTTTACTAAAAACACAAAAAATTAGCCAGACATGGTGGCACACACCGGTAGTCCCAGCTACTTGGGAGGCTGAGGCAGGAGAACTGCTTGAATCCAGTAGGTGGAGGTTGCATTGAACTGAGATAGCGTCAGTGCACTCCAGTCTGGGCGACATAGTTAGACTCCATCTCAAAAAGAAAGAAAGCTAAGAAAAAAAGGCATAGGGAAACAGAGGTAGATGGGCTAAGTCTTCATTCTTCTAATGAAAAGTATGGTTTGTTTGAAAAAAAAAAATTATGTTGTTTCTTGTTTTCCTGGTTTCTTGGAAACTCCCAGTATGAAGTGTCACTGTCTGAAATGCTTTAGTGCTAGATTGCCACATCACAAATGACACTAAGGAATGCCATAAATGTGCACGTTCCATGCTTTGATGTAGTGTTCCCAGACACGCACATTCATGCAGAACTGACCAATGAGTATTATGACATGGCTCCTGCAATGAGGCTGGCCAAAATGGGAGTTTAAGTAGCCCCAGAACTTCCTTCACTAGTTGGCTGTGACTTGAAAATCAAACTAACGGAAGATAATTCACACATCCGAACACTTGTTTTTTGCATTCCAAAATATGCTAATGGAGGCTGAATTACCGTTAAACCTAAAGAGTAACTGACATAGAAGACAGGAATCCTCACTTATCCAGTGTCCTTTAGCGAGACCTTCCATTCATAAGGGGACCACTCTGCCCTGTCAATTTCTATACCCTCGCTGGCTTCAGTAATACCAACAGGGTACAACAGAAGGCTGATGGGAAAGTAGATGTGAGGGCTGATGCCAACAGCCTAGAAGGGCCTATGTACATCTTGCCGTGGAAGGTGCTGCCGAGGGCATTAATCAGGTATTTATAAAGTGACTTCCTTTACAGATGGGCCAAGTCACCTGGGGTTCAAAAGTGAAAGCAAAAGAATCTGGCAACTGTGAAAGCTCTCTGAAAATCTTTCTCCTCCAAAGTTCTAAGGAAATTTAAACCAATCATACCATGGTTAGATAAACAGATGTTAAGTAACTCTAAGAACATCCCTTGTTATTTCTTATTTTGCTTTGCTAGAACATATTTAAAGGAACTGAGAGTCCAGAGTAAGTAGGTTATTGTGGAAAACATTTCCCTTCGCCCCTAAAATCACTGGGTTTGGATCATTCACTTTGAAGTTCTACTATGATCCAGTTTCCCATCAGAAGAGCAGCAGTTTTAGCCACTGAAACCTAAGAGGCCTTTCTTCAATGGCACCCAGCAGAAAGGGGGAAAAAAAATCTTGCATTTGAATAATAATGAGACTAATAATTAAAAGTTATTAGTCTCACATGAAAGACATTACCTTCCAAACAAAATGACGAAGGCTGACTAGTTCAAGTCAGAAACCCAGGGTGGAGATTTCCAAGGCCCTTTTATTAGGGGAAGTTCCCCTTTACAGCACAAGACCTCACAAATGTGTTGACAACAATCAGATTCATTTCTAAAAATTATGGAGAAAAAAGGGAAAAACAAAACAGATGTACTTTTTATATATAGTGAACATAAATTAAAAGAATTTATAAAACAGTCACCTTTTTTACAGAACAAATGCAGACTGAATTATAAATGCACCTCCAGGTTGAAGCTGTTTGAGTTGCTTTAGTTTCATTTTCCAATAATAAATAAAATTTGTTCTTGAGTTTTAGATCCACCTGAGCCACAGCAGGGCTCTAAGTCATTATTGGGTTTTCTTCCCTTGGTCGCTCCTGTGCGCAGCATGTGATTGGGCTGAGGTTATAGATTTCATTGGCCCATCAGGGCGTACGGTATCTTTTCGGGGTGGCATTCGCTCATTAATTCGGTCTAGACCTCGGGCTTCTTCAAAACTTCGGATCTTGTGCTGAAGCGAGAACCCTCTGATGGCTACAGAAAAACAGGAAGGGGGTAGAGAGAGCCCAATTAGGCTGCAAAGCAACAAGCTTAAGAAAAAGTTTCTTAGCACACAGCAGCCTCCTAAAGAAACACACAGAAACGTGGCTATGGAGCATAAGTCTGGTGAAGGTCACGGGCAATGTTTGACTGAATCAGTCTTGCCTGAAGCTACTGTTTCCTTAAAGCCCAAAGGGCAGCTGAAATTGTCAAAGTAATTTTCATAAAAGCTCTATATGCATAATCATGGTAGAAATACACCTGACAAAAAGCTAACAAGTACTTACTGGGCCCCAATACATTTGAGAAAGAGTATCTTATGCACCAGAAAAGTGCTCAATGCTAGAAAAAAGGCAACACTAGAATAACAGAACAAGTTACACCCAGAGTAGTCGCTTTTAGCCCAAAGACCACATAGATCACCAAAAAAAAGTAACGAAAGAGCTCATCTTTTTGTTAGGACAGGCTTTTATCTTGCACAACCAGGAGCTGTACGTAAGTTAAAAACTTAAAAATAGCTTCCAGATGTTTTCCTCCTGATTCAACTTTTGTATCACCAAGGAAAGGCATTCCCATTTTGAAACCATCTTACCTAATAAAACAATTAAATGTGTAATACAAGTTTATCAATTCCAATGGTTTTCATAGAAACAAAGTTAATTTAACTTGCCTACCTTAGGGCAACCTTAGTAATGAACTGAACTAAATTCCAGTCTACTTCTGCATCTGCTCTTGAAATATTTTAGAATCATTAAAGAGGCTGACCTGTTTGGCTCTCTTGAGAATCAAATGGATGTCTCTTGTACATGGAAGAGATACAGGAGTAAACCACTTGACCTCTCATGACCAATTACTTAAGCTTCTGCCATTGCATTAAAGCTGACAGAGCCCAGAAAAAACTGTAGCTGTGGTTAAGGTTATTTAAAATTAATGCAAAGACAGGACACAAAGGAAACACCTGCTTTGTGAACATGCCTAGAAATAGCTATTCCCTTTCTCACTGTTACAGTTTTGGTGATGCAATAATAAAATATTTGAAATGTTGATAAAGCTTTGAAAAACCAGTAGACAGACACATGATCACATCTATCAGAGTAATATGGCCATACCTTCCCGGGCCTCTACCGCTTCTACTGTGGCTGTAAGAGGGCAGGAGCAGTAGCATGCAAAAACGAAGACAGAAAAAGAGTGAGTAACCAACAGCACTGCTGGCAGCACAGCCATCCCAGGGTCCCGTCTTTTAGCCTATCTCCATCCATAATGAAAGTCAACTAGTTAGAGAAGTGAGAAGATTATTGCCAGAGACTCAACTGGGGTGGGAGGAATATGGGGTGGGGAGAGTTTCTAATATTTTTACCATTTCGGGTGGCATGGGAACATTGCTCTCTTCATTTTAAATAGCCAACTGCTACTTTATATCTTGACATCCACAAATCATAACATGAAGAATCAAATAATTTGACATCACAATCATCTAAAGATGATTATAGAATAGCTCATGTGATACCAAATAAGCTACTGCTGGGTCCTATTAGAAAAGCTTATTTACAACTACATCTTATTGCTCTTGACTATCTTATTTGGAGTCCAACTGTCCTACTAATTACTTCTTTTTTTAAAAAAAGAGTAGCCTTTGAATAGTAGACTGGCATTTGGAAGGAGAGATAAACAGATTCCATGTGAAGGGTTATTTCTTGTCCAGGAGTGAAATATAAAGCTAACAAAGGCAAATAACTATTCAATTCTTAATGCAAATGTGTGAACCCATCTGGGCTTAAAAATATAGGGGAGGCTGATATTTCCAATCCATATGGCTTCCAAACAGTGTTCAAGAGAGCAGGCCAATAACTAAGAAAGCCCTCTATTTTCTTCGCAATGGAAAAGGAAGTAACTTAAAAATTAGTACCAACAGGTAAACTGCCTTGCATCTCCTTTCTCAGAGAGTATAAACTCTAACATATGAAAAGGTACAGGGGGTGGCAAGAAAGATCCTATTAGGAGAACCTGTCAGTTACTCCAGTACCAGTTTGCCAAAAGAAGACAGGGAAGAATAATGAGCAGTAACAGTTTGCTGCTATTCCCAAGGCTTTATATATCAATATGGGAAGAGAAACTGAAAGAACTACATTAACTACCTAACACAATGTGAAAAATGGATCACTGGAATCTACTTATGAAGTGCTTTCACTTGTCAACCATAGGCAGGCATGTATTAAATCACTGTCACACCCTTTCTAATCTCCTTAAGTAGAACAAATACACTTTACGAGAAAGCCACAGTGCCTAACAGCACCATCACTGATGTAACTGTTAGCAAGTGGGAGAAGAAAGCACTGCTGAAACTGTATACTGAGTGTTGGTCTAATTAGAGCTTAAAAGCCATGTGGTAAAATGTGTATGATATTATGTTGTTTGGGCCCTCCCAGAATTGCTATTCACATTGGCTATAAAGATAGCAGCCTGCCATAAGGGCCATTATAAGAATATATCAAACTACCTCAACTTTTTTTCTTTTTAACATCTGAACTGAAACAGAATTCATATACCACAAAATTCACTTGTTTCAAGTATACAAGTCAATGGTTTTAATATAGTTAGTTGTGCAACCTCACCACAATCTGTACTTAGAACATTTTTATCACTCCAAAGAGAAACCCCACACTTACTAGCAGTCACTTCCCATTTTCTTCCCTCAACTCTTCCCCTTAATCCTAGTCGAACACGAATCTACTTCCTCTGTAGACCTGTCTGTTCTGGACATTTCATATGAGTGACATCATATAATATGTGGTCAAGGTTCAGTCATGTTGACATATATACCTGTATTTCATTCCCTTTTATGGTTGAATAGTACTCCGTTGTGTAAACCATATTTTGTTTATCCAGTTTATGGACAATTGCTTGTTTCCACTTTTTGGCTATTATGAAAATGCCATTTATGAACATGTGTGTACAAGTTTTTGCAAAGACATATTTTCATTATTTCTTTGTGGGGTATGTAGCTATGACTGGAATTGCTGGGTAATATGTTAACTCAAGTTTAATCATTTGAAGAACTGTCAGTATGTTTTCCACAGCAGCTGCCCCATTTTACATTCCCACCAGAAGTGTAAGAAGGTCCCAATTTCTCCACATTCTCAGCACTTCTTATTAACTGCTGTCTTTTCACAGCCATCCTACTGACTGTGAAGTGGTATCCACTGTGGTTTTCATTTGCATTTCCTGAACGTCTAATGATGTCAAACATCATTTAATGTGCCATTTGTATGTCTTCATGTGAAAAATGTTAATTCAATTCTTTACTCATTTTTAATTCGATTATCTTATTATTCAGTTGTAAGAGTATATTTTCTAGATACCAATCTCTTAGGAGATATACAATTTGAAAACATTTACATCTATTCTGTGGGTTGTCTTTTCATTTTCTTTTCTTTTCTTTTTTTTTTACTTGAGGAGTTTTGCTCTTCTTGCCCAGACTGGAGTGCAAAAGAGCAATCAAGGCTCATCGCAACCTCTGCCTCCCAGGTTCAAGCAATTCTCCTGCCTCAGCCTTCTGAGTAGCTGGGATCAGAGGCGTGCACCACCATGCCCGGCTAATTTGGTATTTTTGGTAGAGATGGGGTTTCTCCGTGTTGGTCAGGCTGGTCTTGAACTCCTGACCTCAGGTGATCCACCTGCCTCCGCCTCCCAAAGTGCTGGGATTATAGGCATGAGTGCCCGGCTTTCATTTTCTTGATGGTACCATTTGCAGTACAAGAGATTTTAATTTTGATGTAGTCCAATTTATAACCGATCTGTTTTAATCTGATGGTCTTTGTGAATCTTGTTCTGTCCTTGGCTTTCCCCACTATTTTGGCTATTAGGATGCTTAGAGTCAAATTTGTGGCTGATTATTGGCTTTCTTTTTGTTTTTCTTTGTGCTTCAATTTCCAAGCACATTTATTTTATCCACTGTGTTTTATGTATGCTGTAACTCATGCCAATCCTTCTTAGATCAGGGTGGGGCATACATGAGTATGTTACATTGCCATATGGGATATTGTTGGTTGAAAGCTCTCCAAGTAAAGTTATATGAACAATAAAAGGTCTTTTTAAGCTAATGCTCCAGTTTGCCAGTAGAACCAAGACTCTGATGTGAAAATAACAAAATAAACTCACTTCCTGTGAATCAGTAAGAATCTCTAAAAAGTTGGCTCCAACATTACCTTTGTTCTCACACATTACTGAAGATTTCTGTCAATTTTGGAAGTATCAATAAGTTGTCCTATATCGATTAAAACACTCATATTCAACTCAGGAACAGAGAGAAATTTAATATGATGGGGCTGAGTCCCAAAGGTGATCAAGAATTAGAAGCAAATTTCCAAATAACAAAGCTATATACATCTGTTACTTGGCCCTAATTTGCGGATTTGCTCTCTTAAGGTCTAGACAAATTTGGTTTAGATGAAAACAAAAACTTTGTGAATCAGCAAATTTTCATAATGTTCATATAAGGATGCTATAGGACATTCTTCTTTTTTTTTTTTCTCTTAACCTGTGTTACTGCCTATTATTCTAACATATCTTTGTTAGAGTTGCTCTCAGAATATGTCACAGGACTAATTACCAAGCAAAGCAATGGTGGGAACATATTCTGCTTACAAAAAAACTACACATTTATTTGAGAAAAGTATTCAACCAGAAATAGTTTACTGATACTTTCTGTGAAACTAAAGGAACTAGGAAAATAAACCATACTTCCAAAAAGAAAATGTTCAGTCTTCCTTCTAAACAGCTGAAATCTAATATTTCAGTATTCAATTTAAAAGAGGAGGAATTTAATCCTATAAGAAGAATAAAAGGGCCGGACATGGTGGCTCATGCCTGTAATTCTAGCACTTTGGGAGGCGAAGGCAGGCAGACTGCCTGAGCTCAGGAGTTTGAGACCAGCCTGGACAACACAGTGAAACCCCATCTCTACTAAAATACAAAAAATTAGCCAGGCATGGTGGCGCGCGCCTGTAGTCCCAGCTACTTGGGAGGCTGAGGCAGGAGAATTGCTTGAACTCAGGAGGCAGAAGGTGTGGTAAGCCAAGATTGCACCACTGCACTCCAGCCTGGGTGACAGAGCAAGATTCTGTCTCAAAAAAAAAAAAAAAGAAGAAGAAGGGGTTTGTCCCTATTAGTCAATAGCAATGAAATTTCTACCAAAGAAAAAGGACTCCTATAAATGGTAGGATGGCCAGGCACATTGGCACACACCTGTAGTCCCAGCCACTCAGGAAGCTCACGCAGGGGGACTGCTTGAGGCCAGGAACTGGGTGTTGCAGTGAGCTGTGATACTCATTGCCTCTAGCCTGAGCAACTCTGTCTCTTGGAAAAAAAGAAAAAAGGCCAGATGAAGGATGATATGGAAAAAAAAACTTGAAACAATTAAACAAAACATGGGGAGCAAAAAAAGCAGTGAAACTGTAGTTTAAGATATTAATGCTTCAATGCCAATTTTCATACCTAGAGTTAGTAACCCAGTGACGTGATCTCCTGTCTCTTCCCCTTGTATGTTTATTCTCACAAACATCGATCTTTTTATTCCAGGATTCCAGAAAGTCCTTTCCTAAGAAGTCAGCTCCCAGGTAATTTTTAGAATTGGTACTCTGATTGAAGCAGTGATTGTGGCACTGGACTAGAATATGGCTGCAGGGAAAGAGGCAAACTCTCTCTCTGATTGAGAAACTGTGACCACCCCCCCAGATTGTTTTCAGTAAGGTACAAAATATACATGAGGCATAGCATGTACACAAATTTGTACAGCTCTATACATTCTTACATGTGTATACATACGTATAACTACCACCCTGATAGTGTCATAGAACATTCCTAACACTCTAGATGTTCTCTGTGCCCTTCTGGGACTATATTCTCCCAGCAAAGGAAGTGACATTCTCACTTTATTAGCACTGATTAGTCCGACGGTTCTTAAACATTATATAAATCAGACAGTCTGTGCTCTTCTGTGTCTGGCTTTTGCAGTTTACTGTAATGTCTGTGAGATTTAACCATGTTGTAGCATGTGTCCACACTGTGCTATTTTTTATTGCTGAGTATATTCCATTGTATAAATAGAATACAGTTTACTTATTTATTTATATTTTGAAATACAGTTTATTTATGTAGTCTACTACTGATGGACATTTGGGTTGTTTCCAGCTTTGAGCTATTATGAATAAAGCTCCTGTGAACATTCCTATGCATATCCTTTGGTGAACATATCTAGTTTCTCTTGGATATATGCCAGGTGTGGAACTGCTGGGTTACAGGGTAGACATACGTTTAGCTTTCCTGCCCAATAGTTTTCTAAAGTGCTTGCACCAATTTATAAGCCCCCCCCCAGCAATGTACCTAGTTCTAGTTCTCCACAAACACACCAATACTTGGTACTGTCAGACTTTTTTTTGGAGACAGAGTCTTGCCCTGTTACCCAGGCTAAAGTGCAGTGGCACACCCACAGCTTACTGCAGCCCTGAACTCCTGGCCTGAAATGATCCTCCCACCTCAGACTCCTAAAGTGCTGGGATTACAGGTGTGAGTCATCATGCTCTGGCCCAAACTTTTAATTTTTAGCCTTTCTAGTGGGTATGTAATGGTACCTACTGTGATTTTTTTTTTAAACAGAGTCTCGCTCTGTTGCCCAGGCAGGAGTACAGTGGCACAATCTTGGCTCACTGGAACTCCACCTCCCAGGTTCCAGTGATTCTAGTGCCTCAGCCTCCTGAGTAGCTGGGATTACAGAAGTGTGCCACCATGCCCAGCTAATTTGGGAATTTTTAGTAGATGTGGGGTTTCACTGTGTTGGCCAGACTTTTCTTGAACTCCTGGCCTCAAGGGATCTGCCCACCTCAGCCTCCCAAAGTGCTGGGATTACATACAGGTGTGAGCCACCACACTGTGGTTTTAATGTCTATTTCCCAGATGAAAAACTGTAACTATATTAAGATCTTTTCATATGTTTATTGGCCACTTTGATGTCCTCTTTTGTGAAGTGCCTGTTTACATTTTTTGATCATTTTTGAAATTTGTTTTTTCCTATTGATTTATAGTTCTTTATTTATTCTGGACATAAGGACTTTGTCAGACATATATGCTGCAAAAATTTTCTTCCATTTTGTGTCTGGCCTTTTTCCTCTCTTAATCATGTATTCTTAAGAAGAGAAGTTCTTAATTTTAATGAGATTCAACTGGGCTTTTTCTTTTAAGGTACTTTTTGCATCCTACTTAAGGACTCTGCCTACCCCAGCATCTACTCTCCATGCTTTCTTCTCATTTCACTGTTTTTTGCTTTTTACATGTAAGTTATAACAAGCCATTCTGATTTGGTTTCCTGTATGAGGGAAGTAGGAGTGAAGATTTATTTCCCCCAGATGGTATAACCAATTGCTCTCATGGCATTTATTGAGGAAAGCCCCCATTTGTACGTGCGCACTGACTGTTGGGTAACGGGAGCACATCTCCACGGAGGAGGGCTCTCATACTCACCCGTCTCAATAGTCTGCTTTCCTCCTGAGAGGACACCCAGAGGGAGCGTGCCTGTGGGAGTCAGGCCCTTCAGAGTCAGCACACTCTCACTTTCTTGCCTGCAAAGGAAGACCAAAGCCCTGGGTTAATGCCAGGGAGCCCACCACTCAGCAATCAAAGATATTGAAGGAAGTGAAGAAAGAGAACAGAGATGGAAGACAGGTTCTCCTACCTCCTAACCCTTCCCGGACTCAAAGCAAGGGATGTTTTCCGCAAATATTTTCATTTTAAACAATCAGCCAGTTTTTGTTTTTCAATTAGAAGCACTTCACACTGAGGCAGTGTTCTAACATTTCCCATATATTATCCCATTCAATACACCTAACAACCTGTGGTTAGGGTCTGTTATTATTTCTATTTTACAGGCAAGGAAACTAAGGCACAGAGACGACACTCAAGATCACACAGCTAAGAAGAGGTAGAGCCAGAATTTGAATACAGGCAATCTGGTTGGGGAGTCCACACTAAACCACTACATTCACTATGTCTAAGCTACTAATAAATGAATGTCTGCTGGAACATTTTTAGTCACTTTAACATGTTCATTCAATTTGCACTCAACCTAAAGACCTGCAGTTTCAATACCAAATTCCAATTCTAAAAAAACTGCTCTGAATTCGACTTCTAATTTACTCTCAAAATGCCTTTAATCCACACTGTAATGACAGACATCCTTACCGAAGAATTGAAAAGACCCGTGCCATCTTCCCAATGGCTCTGATCTTATTCCTGATGATCTCCTTACGAACTGTAGTGCTTCCTTAGAGAATACAAAGAATACATAAGTTAAAGGAATGTGTTAATAAACTGCCTTTAAAAAATTCAGGATGAAGTGTCCTAAGCTAAAGAAACAATTGCTTTTTAAAAAGGAAATGAAGGTTTAAGTTTGTTTAAACAAAAATCTCAGGAAGTTCTAAGGAGCAAGAGAAAAAATAACCCAGAAGATAAAAAGATGAAGTAAAAAATGAGAGGCCACAAAAAAGACAGACTGGGTGGATCTATGAGAGGCAGGAACTTATTTGTGGTTGTGAAATGTAGAACACAGTGAAGAACACAAAACACACACACACACACACAAACCTCACAAAGAAAGCTGCTGCAGCAAAGACCTCTTTTTAGAATGCTGTGGGCCACCTTAGGGCACAGGGTTTGGCCTGCCAGATGGCACGTGATCATTCCAGCAGCTGTCTTCCGTATGTAAACACAACACCCAGCTAGCTTTCCTGAACTTAGTAAGGGCTGCTTTCATTCTATAATCTTCACTTACATTAGTGAGTTATTGCCTCACAGCATTACTGACAACTGTGCACTATTTTAAAAAGCAACAACAGAAAAAGTTAATGTAAGACTTACAGCTTTTTCTCATCTAAGATTCTGAAAATAGCCCACACATGAGAAGCCACGGTCCAGCATGCACCAGGGGACTACAGTCAAAAGTCAGAAAAAGAAACATGGCCTCTCCTTCCTCATCTCTAACCCTCAACACCCTGCCGGATCATACAACAGGTCCTGAGAAAACATATACATTAAAACTGAAGGGGAGGATGGAGAACCTATTTGAAATTATTCAACTACCAACTTTAAAACTCTAACCAACAGGCTGTGGTGGGACAGAGAATAAGCATTAAGCCCTTAGCACAGTTTAGTCGGATACCTTTCTGATAGCTTGGAATGTAGCGATCTTCAGAGAGAAGAGACACCAAGAAACAAGGAGATGAAGACAGAAAAATAAGAAGAGAAATTTAAGTTTGCATGGAAAAGAGGAAAAAAATCAAAGTGAAATGCAATGAGAGAAACAGACTATTATCTTATAAGGGACATCTTTGGTATCATGATACAACATTGGACTACAGATTCCTTTTGTCAGTAGTTTCATTTCTTAAAAGTGTATGGTTTTACATTAATTTACATCTATGAGCATTCAACGTTTTCTGCTCTCACAGATCATGAAAATAACATTAGACAAAGATTATCATTTGTGGAACAAATGATGCCAAAAACAAGAAACTAAAACAGAGGACAGAACAGCGTGCAAAGCTCTTCACAGGAACAGTATGTTTTTTGTTTAATGGATTCAATAGCTTCTCTTTCAGGGGATATAATCATTCTTCATTTATTTATTTATTTTTTGAGACGAAGTCTCCCTCTGTCTCCCAGGCTGGAGTGCAGTGGCACAATCTCAGTTCACTGCAACCTCTACCTCCTGGGTTCAAGCAATTCTCCTCCCAAGTAGCTGGGACTACAGGTGCATGCCACAACACCCAGATAATTTTTATATTTTTAGTAGAGACGGGCTTTCACTGTGCTAACCAGAATGGTCTCAATCTCCTGACCTCATGATCCATTAGCCTTGGCCTCCCAAAGTACTGGGATTACATGTGTGAGCCACCATGCCCAACTGGGTGTTCTTCCTTTTTATTTATTTATTTTTATGTTTGTGGTGGGAAAGAATAGGAAATATGTAAGTTGTTTGTTCGTTTGTTTGTTTTTTGAGACAGGGTCTCCTTCTTTTGGTCAGGCTAGAGTGCAGTGGGGAGATCTCCACTCACTGCAATCTCAGCCTCCCAGGTTCAAGTAATCCTCCCACCTCAGGCCCCTAAGTAGCTGGGACCACAGGCATGCACCACCACACCTGGCTAATTTCTAAATTTTTAGTAGAGATGGGGTTTCGTCATGTTACCCAGGCTGGTCTTGAACTCGTGTGCTCAGGTAATCTGCCCACCTCAGCCTCCCAAAGTGCTGAGATTATAGGTGTGAGCCATCGCGCCCAGTCAGTTCTTCCTGTTTAGAGTTTTGAATGTTCTTCAGAATTTCAAGTTCATTTAAGTTGCTTTTTTGTTGTTGTGGTTTGTCTCTTCAAAGACTTCCCTTAGGTGTTGATAATCCTTGGTGTTCACTCATGATTAAGAGTAAGGGACTAAAACAGTTTCAGAATTGGTAGGTAGAGATTGCTGACTTTGTGCTTTACATCCAGTGATCAGGGTTGGCCTTTGTTAGAGAACAGGGTATGCATTTAGTCACTTTTGGCAAGGTACTGATGCCCTTAATTGTATCCTCCATTCACAAAGCTTTGTGTTTATACTTTATAGAGATTAGCCTCTAGACTTGGAGAGGAGGCAGTTGCCCAGAGTCTCACTTTGTCCCCAGGCTGGAGTACAGTGGTATGATCATAGCTCACTGCTAAATCAACTGAACAGAAGCCTTGAATTCCTGGACTCAATTGATCCTCCTGCCTTAGCCTCCTAAAGTGTTGGATTACAGATGTGAGCCACCATACCAAGCCAAGCTTTTTTCTTTGTCTTTCATCTTAAGCATTATGATGTGCTTAAGTACCGTGTGTATTTGTATTCTTCCATTTATAGGTCTTTAATATATGACTTAATGTCTTAGCAGTTTTGGAAAATTTTTACTCATCATCTTTTCAAATATTGCTTCTCCTCCATTCTCTCTTCTTCTCTGGGACTCCAAACACATGTATGCAAGGCCTATGTATGGTATCCTGTATGTCTCTTATGCTTTTTCTTTTTTTTTTGTGTGTTTTCCTTTTTCCTCTTCATGCTTCATTCTAAATGGTTTCTTTTGAGACCTATCTTCCAGTGAACTTATTCTACAATTAGCTTTATTGACTCTGCTGTTGAATAATTCATCTTTTGAGTTTTTAAATTTGTTATTTTATTTTTCAGTCCAGAACTTCTTTTGGTACTTTATCAAATCTGCTAGTCACTTTTGGCAAGGTACTGATGCCCCTTTTATAATTCACAGTTTTCTGCTAAAATTCTCAGTCTAAACTTTTAGGTCCTTGAACACAGTAAACATAGTCATATTTTGTTTTGTTAGCATAGTTATTTGAAAGTCTGATCTGATACAGCCACCATCTGGAGAACGTGAGGGTCTGTTTTTAGTTTTGCAATTTCTGATGGTTCTCAATCATGTTGTTCTATCTCCTCACACGCCTGGTTATTTCTGGTTGTGAGCCACGTACCATATTCAAAAGACTATTTGTAGAAATCATTTAAGGTCCTACATGATGTTGTCTTAGTCTAGAGAGGTTTGTTCTCTTCAGGTGCCTGGGCCTCCTTATTTAAACTTTCAGGGATTGAATGATTTGAAGGTAGGCTATATTCCTTTCCAGAGCTGTTCTATTCCCAGCTCACCCTAACTCCTGCATAGATGCAATTTTTGAGGGTCCCAAAGCAGTGGACAGAAGACTTCTAGCACTCACATCCTCCTTGGCAAGCCCTGAACACTAACTTTTTTAGCTTAGTCACACAAGGCTATCAAGAGGGCTGCTCAACCTCTTAACCTCTTTTGAAATTCATGAATATCCTTAAAAAAGAAACAGTCCCAAATACTGGTCTCACCTCTCTCCATTTCTGCCTTTCTCCAGGTCACAAACTGGGAATTCTTTACGCTTCATTCACTTTGTGATGCCTTTGAAACAAGCTCAAAAAATAGTTTGTAGAGTTTTTCTAGTTGTCTTAATAGTCAGCACTGATGTAAACTATCTAGTCTGCAATTGATGAAGTGGAAATCCTTAGTTTTATATCACTTTATAAAAAGCTAAACTTCTACTGTAGCTTTTGAGTGGTTTTAGGAGGGAATTGAATGAGGAGTGTGTTCAATTCACCATTTTAACCTAAAAAGTCATTTTTTATTTCCTTTCAGAAAAAAAATAACATATATCAGCTTATATCTACACGACTTGGCAAAAATGGGAATAAGAATTCTATCCATTTACTTTTGCACTTAACAGAATATCTAATACATTTTCCATATCAGTTCTGATAGCCATACTTTAAAAAAAATTATCTTTATTGTTTTGAGACAGGGTCTTGCTTTGTTGCCCAGGCTGGAATGCAGTGCTGTGAACACTGCTCACTGCAGCCTCAATCTCCTGAGCTCAAGCTGTCCTCCTGCCTCAGCCTCCCATGTAGCTGGGACCATGCCTGGCTAATTTTTTTTTTTTTTTTTTTGTAGAAATGGGGTATCTCACTTTGTTGCCCAGGGTGGTCTTAAACTCCCTGCCTGGGCTCAAGCAATCCTCCCACCTTGACCTCCCAAAATGCTGGATTACAGGTGTGAGCCACTGTAGACAGCCAATTCTTATTTTTTAACGAATAGATGTACTTCATATCACACAATTCATCTATCTCAACAACTACTCACCACTTTGCTCATTGTATTATATGTGGCTTTAGGGGACTGTAACGGTGATCAGAAACCAATTTTGTCCCAGCACTCAGGGAGTTTACAGTTGAGTGGGGGTAAAACATATTAATCATGTAAAGATATAAATAAATTATTTAGACCTGCAACTAACAAATGCTAAGGGGAGGTACATGGTGGCATGAGAGAGCATAACAGGGGTATTGGATCTAGTCAGGGATGTTAGAAATGCCTTCCGTGAGGAAGTAACAACAAGCTGAACAGAAGCCAACTATAAGGAAAGGGGAGGAAGGAGGCTTGCATAAAGGAAATAATATTCCTGGTAGAAAATCTATCATATGGATATATCATAACTGATTTACCTGGCTCTCCACTGAAGGATATTTAGATGTTTTAAACCTTTTGCTATTAGAGTCAATCTTTCAATAAATATTCCCATATATAATTTTTAGTATACTTCTGTAAACATATCCTTATGGTAATCAAGAATCTTTTCTGAACATATATGAGTTCATAATAATTTCCATTTCCACCTAGACTTGAATGTAAATTTCTCTAGATCTGTTTCTTCCTTATTTCCTCTTCCCCTAACTTAAATTCTTTATTGTTTTTCTTTTGTTTTTCACTTGGCCGCACTATTTTCTCAAGAAGAACTGGTTCCTTGAAGTGATCTCCTATACCATAAATAAAGGCACTCCTAAGGTATATTCCATATGCTGTTGATCTTCAGTGTGGAACCTGAAGCATGCGAGTGTGTGGTAATTTCCTCTAGATTCCCAAAGGGAGTTCTGTTTATCCTCACAGTTTATCCTCACAGTTGAGGGAACCATCTTAGCAAAGGGCCTTGATAGGATGAGGCTGGTCTGTGCTCGGGTGACCACATTCTTTCCAGAATCTCTCGGATTCTCAGATAAGTCAGGACCTTCTTTTACAATTCAGCTTCCCATAGCACACCAGGAAAAAAAAATGCTTGGCTACATATATAACAAAATGTTACTGTGTAAAAAGATCCCTCACAGGCCAGTAAGAAAAAAAAAAAAAATGGAGCTGGGCACAATGGCTCATGCCTATAATACCAGCACTTTGGGAGGCAGGGACAGGCAGATCATTTTGAGCTCAAGAGTTCCAGACTAGCCTAGACAACATGGAAAAACTGCATCTATACTAAAAACACAAACATTAGCCAGTCATGGTGGCATGCGCCTTTAATTCCAGCTACTCAGGAGGCTGAGGCAGGAGAATCACTTGAACCTAGAAGGTGGAGGTTCCAGTGAGCCAAGCTTGCACCACTGGACTCCTGCTTGGGTGACAGAACAATGCTGTCTCACAAAAAAAAAAAAAAGATAGAAGAGATGAATTGACAAGTCACAAAAGAGAGATAAACATGGCCAATAAACACAAGAAAAAACTGTCCATTAGTCATCATAAAAATACAAACTAAAAATGTAGTAACACCAGACTATAACAAGTATCATACAGTATTGGAGACAGCACTGTGACTACGCACCCTGCACAATGTAAAGTGGTACAGCCTTTCTAGAAGCTGTATCGAAATTGAAATTTTAAGTACTAATTGACAAAGATATTCGATTTCTAGAAATCTATCCTATGGAAATAATCAAGAAGTGTTATTATTGATTTTCTAATATTGCTTTACTTTCTTTCATCTGACATATTTATTTACTGTCTATTCTCCCTATACTAGCAACTATGCTTATTGAGAGCAAGAACCTAAACAGTACAGTACTTGGCATATATCAAATATGTAATAAATATTGGTTAAGAGAATGTGCACATTTTTATCTATACAAATTTTCAAAACTGCATGAGTTTTATCAGCAAAAACTTGGGAAAAACTCCAATACCCAACAACATCGGATTGGTTGAAACACCAATCAACATGGACAACTATGGATCCATTAGAAACTAGTCTGTCTACAAAGAGACCACAAAAATAGTAAGAGTACTAGATCTTATTACATGACTTCATTCTCATTAAAAAGAAAAAAAACACAGAGGAAAACTATAAGCAAAGATAAAAGACAACTAACACAGTATACAGTAAGATGTTAACTGTGGATATCTATATGATGATGGTATTATGGGTGACTTTTTTGTTTTATTTACAGTTTCTTGTATTTTTCAATTTTATTTTTCTACAATCAACTAAATTCATTTTTAGTAAAACAAAGAAAAATCATTCAAAATAAACAAAACCAAACCTCTCCCTAGTTTTAGTTCAAAGAAAAGTTTACCTTCTGCTTCATCATCAGAAATCAGTTCATCATCAGAGCATATGTTGAGCACATTTACCAGCATCTCTGTAACTATGTAAGACAAATTATCCAAAATTTACATAATTAATGAGGTACTTTCTCTAAAATAATGTAGATATCTAAATAAACACACATGTTAAGTAAGCGTAAACAAAAATCATTTCTCATTATGTTAGTAAGAATAGCTACAAAGAGTAGAATTAACTGCAAACTTCTAGGTTTAAAAAGAATTTGGGTAGATTACTTGCTCCAGTGAAAGTCTGGAGTCTTTGAAGATCTATTGCTTAATAACTTGATTTTATTGGATTACTGTTCAGAGCTTCTTCCACACTGATACACATATGAGAAAATTTTTTTCCATTTTACAAATTTAAGCCAACAGGCCTATGTCCAGCAGGCTTAGCTTATTTGAATAGTTGTACAAATAAAATTGTAAGGACAATAAATTCTGTTTAAACCTCTTCAGTTGAAGAAATCTGAGGGAATGACAAGTAAATATGTTATTTTAACATCTTGATCATAGGTCAGCTACTTTAAATTGATATTTACAACAAGAAAACCTTAATATATTAAAATTTAAGAACCAATTGCAGGCCATTAAAAAAACTATGTAGAGGCCAGGCAGAGTGGCACACGCCTGTAATCTCAGCCAGCACTTTGGGAGGTTGAGGATGATGGATCACTTGAGGTCAGGAGTTTGAAACCAGCCTGGCCAACATGGTAAAACCCTGTCTCTACTAAAATACAAAAATTAGCCAGGTGTGGCAGCATGCACCTATAATCCCAACTCCTGAGGAGGCTGAGACAGGAGAATCACGGGAACCTGGGAGGCAGAAGTTGCAGTTAGCAGAGATCGTGCCACTGCACTCTAGACTGGGCGACAGAGCGAGACTCCCTCGCAAAAAAAAAAAAAAAAGAAAATCTATGTTGAGAACAAACAAAATTAGAAAACATTTCTGAACCATGAGAGGGCTCATGCAAATATAAAGTGTCCTCAGTCACTGAACAACTGATGAGATACGTGCTTTAGTTCGCTTACCTTTTTCCCCAACAAAAGGCAAAGACCATGTAAAAACATCCATAAAGTTTGGAAGCCAGTAGGGGTGTGGAGAACAGTTAAACTGTCTGATATTCATGACATTGTTTTCATATTTCAACACAGCAGCTAAAAAGGAAAAAAGCAAGACCATCTGGCACAAGAGAACATGGCATGACAGGCAGTATGCTTTGTACAGCTGTGTACCTGCTACACAGAATTCAGAAACTTCCCATTTGTAAAGTCAGGACTAGTCTATGTAAAGGGCAGATGGAAAATTTTATAGCCTTTTATTTAGTTCATTTTCTTAAGAGTTATTCCAAGGAACAAAGTTATGTGAAGACCTCATATAATAAAAGAACAAAAGAAACTGAAACTTCCGAGGATCACTGCACAGTAACTATGTATATAAACCTAAGGATTCACATGAGGAAAATGTTCTCATAATTTTTTATAGACCAAATGGTTATAATTACAACTCTCTTTTGAGGGCAAATATCACTCACTAAATGAACACAGCCTTTTTTGCTAGTCATTAGCCAGAGTGGAAGACTATACTTTCTGGGAATTTATATGCTGCAGTTCATTAACTCATACTGGGAGATACAAATGGCAAACTTGAAGCAATTTACAATTCATGTTCAAAATTAGGTTAAATCATCTCTGTATTCAATATAGTGGATTTAAAAATTGCCAATTTCTCTGATACACAGCCAGTATATTGCCAGCAAGCTATGTTTAATATTAACCATTCAGATAGCTGCACACATACTTTGATGCCAAACTGACTTTCTTCATATTTTGAAAGTCTTAAAATCCAGTTCCTTAGCCTTTATCACCAGCAGTGTTGTTTGCACGATTCTCTTAATTATTCTATGGTCATAAAATAAAACAGGTGTAATGGTTCTCTAGAAATGACAGACATAGGTCATGTCCTGGTTCCTGTTTCTTTGCTATAGGATAATACAGTGTTCTTAAATTTTAAGTTATTGAATGTCTAAAATGTACATTATAGATTATTAAGAAAATAAATTAAAATAGAATCTCTAGCTCTTAAAAAACCTAACATTGGCTACAATGTATATGTTCCATTATTTTCACATATATGTATTTTATTCAATTTAAGTAAATAAATCATAAATCATTATTCGACAACTCTCTCAATCTACCCGGGAAAAAGAAGTGTGAGGTGATTCTCAACAGTGGATGACTGGAAACAAGAGCTTAAAAAACTGCTTTTGGGTGTGTTCCCAGTGAATGGAAGAAAACACCAATAAGAATCCTTAAAAATCATGATTAAAGGTCTTTCACGTAAGTAGCGGAACTAAGAAATACTTGTAGATACCAAGAAGTCTAAAGAATATGAAAGAGTAATCCTAGCACTTTGGGAGGCTGAGGCGGGTGGATTGCCTGAGCTCAGGAGTTTGAGACCAGCCTGGGCAACACAGTGAAACTCTGTCTCTACTAAAATATAAAAAATTAGCCAGTTGTGGCGGCGTGCACCTATAGTCCCAGCTACTCCGAGGCTGAGGCAGGAGAATTGCTTGAACTTGGAGGCAGAGTTGCAGTGAGCAGAGATTGCACCACTGCACTCCAGCCTGGGTAACAGAGCCGGACTGTCTCTTAAAAAAAAAAAAAAAAAAAGAATATGAAAGAGACCAAGCATGATGGCACACACCTATAATCCCAGCACTGTGGGAGGCTGAGGCAGGAGGATTGCTTAAGCTCAGGAGTTCGAGACCAGCCTGGGCAACGTAATGAGGCCCTATCTCTATTTAAAAAAAAAAATAGAAAAAAATTAGCCAGGCTAGGCACAGTGGCTCACGTCTATAATTCCAGCACTTTGGGAGGCCAAGGTGGGCAGATCACCTGAGGTCAGGAGTTTGAGACCAGCCTGACCAACATGGAGAAACCCTGTCTCTACAAAAAATACAAAATTAGCCAGGTGTGGTAGTACATTCCTGTAATCCCAGCTACTTGGGAGGCTGAGGCAGGAGAATCGCTTGAACTTGGGCGGCAGAGGTTGCAGCAAGCTGAGATCGCACCACTGTACTCCAGCCTGGGCAACAAGTGTGAAAAACTCCATCTCCAAAAAAAAAAGTATCCAGGTGTGGTGGCATGCACCTGTCGTCCCAGCTACTTGGAAGGTTGAGGTAGGAGGATCACTTGAGCTCAGGAGGTCAAGGCTGCAGTGAACCAAGATCATGCCACTGCACTCCAACCTGAGTGACAGAGACCTTGTCAAAAAAAAGAAAAGAAAGAAAGAAAGAAAGAGAGAGAGGGAGGGAGAAAGGGAAGGAAGGAAGGGAGGAAGGAAGGAAAAAGGAAAGAAGGAAAGAAAGAAAAGAGCAATAGTAGAAGAAAGGGAAGAAGAAAAAGAACAATAGAGTTGCCTTTTTCAGAAAAGAAGGCACTTATATGGAGAGTAATTGAGTGCCACCAGGGATTGTTTCAAATGCCACATTTTCTGCCTTTTGCCTTTCAAAATGCTTAAGAAACAACCAATAAAAATAAGATAGTTTTGAAAAAAAGTTACTAATTATGTCAAAGCTGACAGAAAACTCAGGTAGAATGAACTGTGGCTTTTCCTATTTTTTATTTTTATTTTTTTAAGAGTCAGGATCTTGCTCTATTGCCCAACCTGGAATGAGGCAGTGTGATCACAGCTCACTGCAGGCTTGAACTACAGGGCTCAAAGGATCCTCCTTCCTCAGCCTCCTGAGTAGCTAGAACTATAGGCATGCTCCACCTTGCCTGGCTAACTTTTAAATTTTCCTTTGTAGAGATGGGGTGCCACTTTGTTGCCCAGGCTGGTCTTGAATTCTGGGCCTCAAGTGATCCTCCCCTTAGCCTCCCAAATTGCTGAGATTATAGGCATGAGCCACTGTGCCTGGCCAGGACTGTGAGATTAAAAGTTTGCTAAAGAAGCAGTCAAGAGAAGCTGGGCGTGGTGGCTCAAGCCTGTAATCCCAGCACTTTAGGAGGCCGAGGCGGGTGGATCACGAGGTCAAGAGATCGAGACCATCCTGGTCAACATGGTGAAACCCCGTCTCTACTAAAAATACAAAAACTTAGCTGGGCATGGTGGCTCAAGCCTGTAATCCTAGCTACTCAGGAGGCTGAGGCAGGAGAATTGCCTGAACCCAGGAGGCGGAGGTTGTGGTGAGCCGAGATCGCGCCATTGCACTCCAGCCTGGGTAACAAGAGTGAAACTCCGTCTCAAAAAAAAAAAAAAAAGAAGCAGTCAGGAACAAAACCAGGTTAGATTGAGTGAGACAAAAACAAACAAACAAACACACAAGCAAACGAGCTAGCAGTGATGAGCTGTATAGCAGCTGCTGACTTAGCAGCTGCTGACTTAGGTGGCATGTTTCAGCTTAGCACACTGATAAATCCATTGAGCAACAGATACTCTTTTTGATGAAGTTACACAAGAAAGTGAGAAGGGAACACCTTCATTACAAATATGAGATTCAGGGCCACTAAGAGTCCTTGAAGATGTTTAACAACACAAACAGTCCACACCATTGACAAGAGAATAAATAAGAATAAAACCTAAGTTGCTAATATATTGGAAATATCAGGAGAAAGGAAATAATAAATGTACCCAGGGAGAAGCAGAGCACTGTAGGCCAGCTAAGGCTCAGAGAAGAATGCTAAGTTAAATGAAAACATAAGGCTAGGACAGAACTTAAGTCAAAGACATGCTTTTTAAAATGGACAAGTCACTGGAGGACACACTAAAATGACTGACCCAAATCAGATTTAAATGAGATGTGCCATTCCATAGTTTACTTAGAGTAAATATATTTGGCCCTCTTTGAAACTTTTCTTCCCAACTGCATATACAAGGTATAACTATAAAGTAATGAGACTTAAGAAACCACCAGCTACAAACACACCTGACCTTGGTATCAGATGAGTGTGGTCCTTTGACATCATCACATCAGACACAATAGCAGTAAAATCTATATTATTATAGTAATTTATATTTTCAACAACACTTTAATATCCATTTTCCTTATTCCAACTTATCTTCAACAACACTATATGACATATATTTTAAAGATGAGGCTCAGAGAAGTTAAGTATCTTGCTAAACGTGACACGCTTAAAAGTGAAGCAGGACTAGACCGACTCCTTGCTTTGTGTTCTTTTCAGCACAACTTGTTGCCTTACCATATAATTAATCCAGAGATGCTGCCATTACTCAAAACGTTTTTGGAACTCTTCTTTTGGAAGCACCTCCAGAGCCACTGTATCAGCAACACAATGAGAAAAACCAGTCTCATTACCTTATAATCATACCTTGTTTCTGACCCCAAATGGTAGCGTCTAGCTTGATCACTCACCTTATTTATCAGTCTTGACTCCGAATGACTTTTGGCTGTCCAAAAATCAAATCCACCCTCAAAGGACGAAGATTTCCCATCATTGAGGATAATCAAAAGAATGTGTCGCAGACTCTGAAGGCAATGTCAAAAGAGGAGTTCCAAAAATGTTTCTGAACAAGGACAGCATTGTTGGAATAGGTGTGTAGCCTCCCAAGGTTAACTATTTTGAAGGGACGATACTCATTTGGATATGTTCGCCCTGGCATGTTTATTTTCAAAGTCCTATTAATTTATACTCATACTTTATAAACGACAAAATAGTTGTAGAAATGTGAAGTTTTTAGTAGGACCACTGCCTTGAAAGAAAATTTATAAACTATTAATCATAAAAGTTTTAAATTAAAAGATTTTAACAGGATAAAGTCTTAGAAGGAAAATTTCTGGAACAAAAGGCATGTATATATCCATTCCTCTTTTTTCATATGGGAAACTGAAGATTAGAAAGATAATGTGACTCACCCAAAGTCACAGTATTAGTTTCTGACAGGGCTTAAACTAACAATGAAGTTTTCTTTTTATATTTTTATTTTATTTTTTTACTTTGTACACTATTCACTCTTCCTATATCATATTTTAAGAAGAAAAATAGTCTAATAATTCATAAAGATTAAAATACTAATAGTAACTTTATTTGAGATACTGTGATAAACACATTAAATTCACCAAAACCAATAATTTATGCTAACTGTTCTAAAATGAGCCTGAAGCAATTTATTCTTCTTATACCTTGAGTCTGCAGTATCAATCTGACCTATTATGACCATTATTTATACTTACAAAGAGGCCAGTAATTCTTAGAAGATAAAGACCAAGCAGAAGCATAAATTCTAAATCTCTTGGCCTTTGTTTCAACTAAGACCCCTTTTTTCATATTTTAAAATCACACACACACACACACACACATATACATGCAATTAAACTAGAGCTCATGTTTACTCACAAATTCAAACTCAAATATTGCTGGACTCCTTTACCTTTATTGTTATAGACATCTAGGTAATTGGGGGCAGAGAAAATTGTAATAAGTGATGGAAAGCCTGTTGCTTGGCTCTTCCTGTACATTCGATACCTGAAAAAGAGATGAAAGCCCATCTGTCTTTATCATAAATGAAAAGACGCTGCAGTGATATTTGGTACAGTTTAAATATAACTTACCCAGCATCTTGGGCTTCATGGGCTCTGATAATTGATAATAAATTGTTGTTCTGCAAAAATTCACAAACTGCAGGGTAACTGAAAAAGAAAATTAAAAAACATAAATCCAAAATTAAAAAAATTATTTTTTAACAAGAAGATTGGGAGACATATCAGCTGATTTTGTTTCAAAATTTTAAGTATTACACACTACTGAAATTTTATGAATAGCTTAGTACTCATCATTCTGTTTTTCTATTTCATTAATATACCTCACTATAGATCAAACATGAAGACAATAGATAATCCTACAATAGAAAGAGCTCCTCCATCTCATCTTTTAATTTTTTGGTCTTAATCCATAATGATAGTGCAACACCAAAACTTTTATCAGTGTCTTGATATTAAAAAGTAAACAGGAGAGACAGAGAGAGAGAGAGAGTATGTGTGTGTGTGTGTGTGTGTGTGTGTGTGTGTGTGAGGTGCTAAAAATTCAACACATACTATTCTTCAATCATCAAATTGTCAAATTGTTAGAAAAATAAAAGAACCTACTTATTGCTTCATGGGTAATACCAACACCAAGACAATTTTATGCAGGAATATTTTAGATGTAAATATTTTAGTCAACCATATTAAAAAAAAAACCACCATATTCTCATATACTCCTAAAATATTCTTTTCATACTATGACTTCTCTGTTTTTTTTTCTCTTTTTCCACTATGACCTCTCTGAATGACAAATGCTTGATAGGAAGAACTGGAGTACACGAAATCAACCTGGAATTAACCTTAGGTATTATTTAGTTTATTTTTTAAATCCTTGTTTCTCATTATGCTCATTAGAAAAAAATGTACTTTTAAAGTAGATTGTATGTGACATCAGCAAGATGGCAGAAGAAAATGTCCGCAGCCCTGGTCCTCATACAGAAACAATAGAGCCCTCATACAGAAATAATAGTTTGGTAGCCATCCATGGCCATAAGTGCCATTGTGAGAATCTTGGGATTGAGGCAGGTGGTTATGAAACCTTGGTGGAGTCCAAGACTAAGGAGGGCTGCTTTGAGAAGGCAGGCCCACTGACCTTCAGCTACAGTCCCAGAATCAGCCTGTCCCTTGTGAACTTGGCTCCAGTCCCACTTGTCTGCAGTCCTACCACCAGCCTCATCCAGCCTAGGAAGGAGCCATGCCTATCGATGCCCCTAGTAACAGACCTACAACCAGACCCTACTGCAAACTCAAAGCAGCACCCTGACCTGGCTCCAGCCTGCTCTACTGTGGCCAAGAGGAAGTCCTGCCTTCCCAGGGACCTTGCAGGAATCATTCCTGTCCATTCCTCTGGTAAAAGGACTACTGACTGGACCCAAACATAAACCCAAACCAGCCTGTGACCCAGGTTGGGTCCTACCCTATTAAGTTCCAGAGACAACCATCCCCACCCAGGGGACATACCTGTCCATGCCCCTAGTGGCAGGCCCACTGACTGTAAACCCAACTGTAGCCCCAGAATTTAGCTTCAGCCCTGCTCAATCACAATACCACAGGCAGTCGCATCAATCCAGGGACTCAGTAGGAAAAGGTATTTACTTGACGAACTAGTCCATAAAACTGGAAGGCCTATGCTCCTTCAAATGCACAGACTCCAATGTAAGGCTATATGAATTATAAAGAACCAGGCAACAATGACAGAACCAAAGGAAATTAATAAAGTTCTAATAACTGGCCCTAAATAAACAGAGAGGTGGGCTGGTTGCAGTGGCTCACACCTGTAATCCTAGCACTTCAGGAGGCCAAGATGGGTAGATCACCTGAGGTCAGGAGTTCAAGACCAGCCTTGCTAACATGAAAAAATCCCATCTCTACTAAAAATCCAAAAATTAGCTGGCCGTAGTGGCACAAGCCTGTAGTTATAGCTACTCGGGAGGCTGAGGCAGGAGAATCACTTGCACCTGGGAAGTGGAGGTTCCAGGGAGCCGAGATCACCCCACTGCACTCCAGCCTGGGCAACAAGAGCAAAACTCCATCGGGGGTGGGGGGGTGGGGGGAGGAGGAGGAGGAGGAGGAGGAGGAGGAGGAGGAGGAGGAGGAGGAGGAGGAGAAAAAAGAATTATGAATTGCATGACAAAGAATCCAAAATAATCATCATAAAGAAGCTTAATGAACTACAGCTAAACAAAATCAGGAAAGCAATAAATGAATAAAAACAGATGTTTAAGAAAGAAACAGAAACCATAAAAAAGAACCAAATAGAAATTCTGGAAAAATACAATGACTGAACTGAAAAGTTCAAAAGAGAGCTTTAACAGCAGTTGCAGTCAGAAGAAAAGAACTAGCAAACTTAAAAGATAGGTCATTTGAAATGATACCACTAGAGGGACAAAAAGAATAAAAAAGGGTGTGGCAAGTATACAGAACTTATGGGACAACATCAAGTGAAAATAATATATGCATATGGGAGTTAAAGAAGGAGAAGAAAAAGGGGCAGAAGGCTTATTTTTAAAAACTAAAGGCTAACAGTTGTTAGCCACATCTAGGGAGGAAAATGGAAGTTTCAATTCATGAAGCCCAAAGGTCTCCAAATAAGGTAAACACTTAGATGCATTATAATTAAGTTGTTACAACTCAAAAAGAGGCCACATGCAGTGGCTCATGCCTGTAATCCCAGCACTTTGGGAGGCTGAGGCAGGTAGATCACCTGAGGTCAGGAGTTCGAGAACAGCCTGGCCAACATGTTGAAATCCCATCTCTACTAAAAAAATACAAAAATTAGCTGGAACGGTGGTGGGCGCTTATAATTTCAGCTACTCAGGAGGCTGAGGCAGGAGAATTGCTTGAACCTGAAGATGGAGGTTGCAGTGAGTGCCAACCTGGGTGGCAGATCAAGGCTCTGTCTCAAAAAAAGAAAAAAACTCAAAAAAGAAAAAATTTGAAAGCAGCAAGAGAAAATCTACTTGTCACATAATATACAAGGAAGCCTCTATAAGACTATCAGTAAATTTCTCAGCTGAAATCTTGCAGGCCAGGAGAGTGGGAGACAATATATTCAAAGTACTAAAAGAAAGAAAAAAAACTGCCAACCAGGAATAGTCTACTCAGCAAAATTGCCCTTTAAAAATGAAAAGATAAAGACTTCCAAATAAACAAAAACAGAGTTTGTCACAACTACACCAGCCTTATAGGAACTACTAAAGGAAGTTGAAGTAGAAATTAAAAGATTCAGCTGAGCACAGTGGCTCATGCTGCAATCCCAGCACTTTGGGAGGCTGATCACCTGAGGCCAGGAGTTTGAGACCAGCCTGGCCAACATGGTGAAATCCCGTTTCTACTAAAAATACAAAAATTTAGCCAGGTGTGCTGGTGTGCACCTGTAGTCCCAGCTACTCAGGAGGCTGAGACAGGAGAATCACTTGAACCTGGGAGTAAGAGGCTGCAGTGAGATGAGATTGTACCACTGCACTCCAGCCTGGCTGACATAGAAACACCCTGTCTCAAAAAAAAAAAAAAAAGTGAAATCTGAGATTAACTACATTAGGTGTGTGAATGGGGAATAAAGTGTAGAATTTTTTTTTTTTTTCATTTTTTTTGTCTCCCCCTGCCCAAAGTGTAGAGTTTCTATACATAATTGAAGATAAGTTCTTCTCAGCTTAAGACAGACTGCTATAACTATAAAATATTTGATGCAAATCCTACGAATAAAAAAGCACAGTAGAAACGCAAAAGTTAAAAAGAAATGAACCAAAATATACAAAGAGAAAAAGAGAGGAATAGAACCATAAAACAGACAGAAAGCAGCCAACAAAATGGTAATATTAAGTCCTTATCTGACAATCATTACTTTAACTCCCAAATCACAAGACAGATTATGACTGAATGGATGAAAACAAGACCCAACTACATGCTGTCTAGAAAGGACTTACTTTAGATTTAAGAACACACATAAGCTGAAAGTAAAGGGGTAGAGAAATGTATTCCATGCAAGTAGTAACCAAAAGAGAGCAGAGGTGGCTAACCTTTTATTAGACAAAATAGACTTTAAGACAGAAATCATCACAAGAGGGAACAAAAGTCACTATATAATGATAAAAGGGTCAACACAACAGAAAGATATAACAATTATAAGTATATATGTATCCAATATCAAAGCACCTAAATATATAAAGCAATGACAGATCTGAAGTCAGACATCAACAGCAATAAAATAATAGCAAGTAGGCCAGGTACTATGGCTCACTCCTGTAATCCCAGCACTTTTGGAGGCCGAGGTGGGCAGATCATCTGAGGTCAGAAGTTTGACACCAGCCTGACCAACATGGTGAAATGCCATCTCTACTAAAAATACAAAAATTAGCTAGGCATGGTGATGTGTGCCTGCAATCCTAGCTACTCGGGAGGCTGAGGCAGTGGAATCGCTTGAACCTGGAAGGTGGAAGTTGCAGTATGCCGAGATTGCACCACTGCACTCCAACCTGGGTGACAGAGTGAGACTCCATCTCAAAAAAATAAAAATAAAATAATAATAATAATAGCATGTAACTTCAATACATCATTCTCTGTAATGGATAAGTCATCCAGTCAGAAATCAATAAGCAAACAAGAGAACTAAAAAACTATGGACAAAAATGGACCTAATATGCACATATAAAACTTTCCGCCAAATAAAAGAATACAAATCTTCTCAAGTATATACAGAATATTCATTAGGCTACGAAATCTCAAAATGAGTATTAACTAACTTAAGATGTAAGCAGGGTATGGTGGCTCATGCCTGTAATCCTAGCACTTTGGGAGGCCGAGGCAGGTGGATAACAAGGTCAGGAGATAGAGACCATCCTGGCCAACATGATGAAACCTTGTCTCTACTAAAATACAAAAAATTAGCCAGGCACAGTGGTGAGTGCCTAAAGTCCCAGCTATTTGGGGGGGCTAAGGCAGGGTAATCACTTGAACCTGGGAGGCAGAGATTGCAGTGAGCCAAGACTGCACCACTGCACTCCATCCTGGCAACAGAGCAAGACTATCTCAAAAAAAAAAAGAGGATGTAAATCATCCTAAGTATCTTTTCCCACCACAATGGAATGAAACTAGAAATCAATAACTGT